ATCATTAGAAAAGAATGTAGTAATATTCGAAAGTACACGGGAAAATGAATATAAAATAAAAGTTAATATGAATTGTGTCAAATTTATCGATAACAAAAAACACCTTATTCGGAAATTTTACAGATTTAATAAAAATATTGATAGACAAAAATTCTCCATATTATTTAACAATATATATTTTAATTTTTATACATTCTTTTTATCGATACAAATATTTAAGTGAATGTTCTGTTTATAATAAACATTTACATGCCCGAGAAGTTTTCACAGAAAAAATTCGACCTCCGACAGGATTCGAACCAGTATCCTATACGGAACTGTCTTTTAGCTTGACGTGCCTTTACCGACGTGACCACAGAGCCGCGTTCGGTTAGAACAGTCTGTGAATCTCTCACGTCCATTCATATCTGCTCATGGCGTATCAAATGTAAACAGATGACGTCACACATTATGAAATGGACAAAGTCCGACAATTGTTTTAAGACATTTTTATGTTTATACATTCTTTTTATAGATACAAATATTTAAGTAAATGTTCTGTTTATAATAAACAGTATTAAACAAAACAAACAAACAAACAAACACACACACATATATATATATATATATATATATATATATATGAAAGTTGGCTTGATAGAGTTAAAATTAAAAATGCAGGAACGATAGACTTAAAAATAAAGCAAAACGACTGTCGCGACCACTTTCTCTTAAAATTTTACGTAGCTTCAGGACGTAGCCGTTTATGGCTCTCCGCGGGTTCCTGCACTTTATTATATTAACCGCCATGTTTTCTTGGAAAACACCGTGGACTAGGTTCTCGTTGCATCTCCAAGGTTAAGAATTCAAAGTTTTCACTCATTTCAACCGATTGCTATCCAAAGTTAGACAGCTCACTGTGTCCTGGAGAGCTCACTGTGACTCAGTGGGCCGTGTGCAGGCGAGCGTTAGATGAACGTGCGTTTCCGTTGAGCAGCCTGTGTCCAACGACTTTCTGATACCAACTTGTATACAATGATATAAACTGATATGGTTTTTGCTTCTTCTGCACTGACAGTGCGCTGCGGGTTAAGCTTTGTCTCAATTAGCCACGTGGTGACGTCAAATAAATTAGATGCACGGCTTGTACATCGATTTTCAGGATGCTATGAAGTTTTAATGTTGATTCTAGACTGTTGCACCAATTCTACGATACATGACTCACCAGAAACAAAGAAAAGTATACAGAGGCCGTGTTTATAAGCGCGCAACCGAGATTTTAGCGTTATAAAAATACTTCAAGTCTCCCAGCTATGATAATATGCTTATAAATGCAGCCATTTCTCACTTAACGATTATGTCCCCTTCCAATGAACTGGTCGCTTATAGATATAAATTGTTTCAAGTATCCAAAGCGTAAGTTTTTTTTTTTAGCGTGTCAACCATTTACAGATGGTTTCAATATCACTGTCTTTTACAACGAGGTTCACCTTTTACAAGACACGGGGCCACTCGAGGTAGAGGGTTACGTTTGGAGGCCATTTGTGTGTATAGAGAAGGAAGAAAATGGTTAACCCTGACTTTGAACATGTTAAGATTATAGTGATCAGGGAAAAATTCTGTTGGAAGTCGGTTCCACAGGGCAGTGGTTCGCGGGAAGAGCTGCTGGAGTGGAACTTACTTCTCACTGTTGGAATACGGAGGGAACGTGGGTGGTTTGATACGATGTAAGTGGCATAGCGTGTTCTTGCTGTGAAGGTTTGCCTCGATGGGACCAGGGAATTATGTTAACGTTTCTAATTTATTTCTATATATATAATACGCACATATGGACTTTGCCTCTGACAAAGAACGTACCCTTACCGATTTCACTCCTCGCTTGGAGTACAAACTTAGTAATATCTCTCTCACGGCTCGAGAAATTTCCAGACTTATAAAAAGCCTTGATTCTACCAAGACTATCGATGGAGATACAATCTCGATAGTCATCCTGAAGAACTTATCTCCTTGAGTCATCTCCAATCTTGGTAAAATTGTTTAACCTACGCATTTTTAAAAAATCGGTATCACCCCAAGCAAGGCAGTATAGCCGCTAACGATCAAGGGGCTACAGGGTGTGGAGGAATTAGGAATACAAACATTAGTAATGAGTAGAAAATAAAAGAAGAGCAATCATGAGGATAGTAAATAGCGATTGACATTGCATTTAAATTTTTGCCGATTAAAGTTGGCTGGAAATTATGTGGCCGGAAGTGAGTTCCAAAGACAAAAGTTGCGAGAAAATAAATTGTTAGGATAGAAGAATTTACGGCTACATCTAGCCAGTTCAACTGTAAATTGTGATATCTCGCTGCAAATCTTGTGTTGCGCTTAAATTCATACAGTCTAGGTACCTGGGGCGAATAAAAAGAAGACAGCAACCAGCGAGTAAATTCAAGCTCTCCCAACTGGTATTGCAACCTCGAGTCGTTCCTTCTTGAGTTCTGTCTCAAAATCGCACTAACAGACTTTTCTAGCTGCCAACCGTGAACGTCACTCCAAGCACCCCGCACTTGGAAACATTAGTTGCTTTTATATTTGTCCATATACCCATAATCCCTTGCGTCTTCATGCGATCCCATAATTCATTGCGTCCCTGTCCTATAATGCATTGCATCTTTATTGCATAAAAATGCAATGCAAGTCCCCCCTCATTCTTTTATGTTATCTGGCCGAGGACGGATTACGGCAGAGCGGTAAGTGCTTTTTTTTCTTCCCCATTTCAACTGCAGTAGCTTTACATGCTAAGCAAATACGGGCTCTTTTTTGGCGGGGAAAAGGCAAGTCGCAACCAGTTGTGCTCGTCCCAGGTTCTGTCTCATCATGTCTGCCACAGTACCATAGCGAAGAGCTCATCCGAACAATTATCATGAAAGTATTTATATATAAAAAAAAAAAAAGCTCAGAGAAGCAACCTAACCTCGCTGGGAAAGTGACTGAAGCCGAGCCCCCAGATCAGGACCAATAATATTACTGATTCGTCTTTGGATCTTTTCAAGAAGATCCGGGTAAATAGCAGGGGCACTGGACCATATATGGCAGCAATATGCTAAGCATGGACGAATGGTGGACTTATAGTTATCCAAGGTAGTTTCCGGAGAGAAAAACTGAAGGATAAATCCTTCCTAAGTCTATGGAATGTATCAAGTATATACCCTTTTTACAATAATGGGAGTGAGCGATCATTTCCATCGCAATAAACAGTCCATCAGAATGAATAGTAAACTTTTTGTATCTATCATCAAGAAGGCTGTTGTTCACCTCAACAGGGACAACGCCATGGGCGACGAACAATATAGATTTTGCTCTTCTAGGTCCACTGCTGATATCCTAACTGTCGATTCGCACAAAATCCCCAAAGCAATTGACAATAAATACGTCATGCTGAAGGCGTTTGGCATGATGTGGAATAGACGGATGCTACATAACTTCTTAACTGGAATATTTTTCTCAGTTATCAAATCCTTCTTATGAAATAGATCCGTGAGAGTTGTGCCTAATGGCCCCTCATCCGAGCCCTATGAGATCAATGCTGGCTTCTTAGTTCTGCCCTCTTTCTGCTTTAGGGTCTGGCTAAGAGCTTACTCCGATCTTTAGTGAATATCTATGCACATTATACCTGGGTGCACCTCCAAAAATCTAGATGATTAAAGGCTAGCAGCTGATTTATTCTCTGATCGAACTCTAACTGTTCAATGTGTTTATAACTGGCTGGACAATACCTCAAAAAACAAATTAATAACGTTTCTTCATCACCGAGCAGACCTTAAATTTTCGTCTATTGCGATGAACGCTGTCCTCTTAAGAAGACATTTTGGGTCATATGCTCACACTGTACTTCAACTCGTACATACGATATATAGGTAAAGATGCGGGGAAAATGGTCAGTTATTCGTACAACTGCAGCACTATTCCTGTTATGCTCTACCATTACAAAAGTCAGGTCACACCAACAACGGTGTACTGGTGTCATACCTGGGCAGGAGCTACTCAGGCTTCATTTTCTAGTCTTAATAGAGTTATAGAACGTCTACGCAGCCTTGTGGGTGATGAATTATTTTCCACACAACGAATCTTTTCCTACAAACGAAACGTTGCAAGTCACTTGCTATTTCCATGGAAAATGTCACGTGCTACTTCCATAGAAAAAATTGCAAATCACTTGCTATTTCCATGGAAAATGCTGCAGGTCACTTGCTATTTACACGGAAAATGTTGAAAGTTACTTGCCATTTCCATGGAAAATGTTGCAAGTCACTTGTTATTTCCATGGAAAATGTTACTTACTACTTCCATGGAAAATGTTGCAAGTCACTTGCTATTTCTATTGAAAATATTGCAAGTCACTTGCTATTTCCATGAAAAATGTTGCATGTCACTTGCTATTTCCATAGAAAATGTTGCATGTCACTTGCTATTTCCATGGAAAATCTCACTTGCTACTTCCAGGGAAAATGTTGAAAATTACTTGCCATTTCCATGGAAAATGTTGCAAGTCACTTGTTATTTCCATGGGAAATGTTACTTGCTACTTCCCTTGAAAAAATTGCAAATCACTTGCTATTTCCATGGAAAATATTGCAAGTCACTTGCTATTTCCATGGAAAATATTGCAAGTCACTTGCTATTTCCATGGAAAATATTGCAAGTCACTTGCTATTTCCATGGAAAATTTTACAAGTCACTTGCTATTTCCATGGAAATTGTTCTGACGAGCTACATTCCATAATTCCACCAAAGCTAATCCTCACAGTTAAAACGCAACATGCCACGTGCACTGAAGCGAACCTTCCTCATTGATTTCATATACCATTCGTAAGAAGAAGGTCCCAATCAAATAGCTTCTTTCCTCGAACCGCTAATTTGTGGAAGCGACTTACAAGAGATTGCTTTCAAGGTCCCTACAATCTTAAATTATGCAAGGCTTTTATTATCGTTATCATTCTGACATATCATCATAAACTGTGCATGTTAAGTCTTACGGTTGAATTCCCTTCCTTGTTGGAAGAAGGTGTTGGTTGGTCTCATCTTGTCTGGCCGGTGATCACTGGTCTTTTTACTTCAATCCTCTTCGTCTCTTGGTCAGTGTCGCGAAACGTTCTCTGGGTTCAGAGACGAAAAGCATCAGCAAAGAGAACATTTAACTTAAACTATTATCTTATTAACCACGTCAACAGGTATCTCTTCTAGCAATTGTGGGTTACTACACCTCCTATTGGGGAGCAGCTTTCAAGCAAGAAATCTTACACGTCCATTTCCTTTGACGTGTAACAACCAAAAAAAAAATACCCTTCCCCACTGGTGGGGCGTGGTTTGCATAAATGCAATCTAACACGTCTAGTTAGTTCGACGTCCGAACAGCAACTACTGTTAAAACCTTAATTTATAACTCATTCCCACCCTCGGATCAGCCAATCAAAATCGACATACCTATTTTGTCTACCATCTGACCGTAAAGATTAGACTCAGAAGGTTTGAGCCAAAATACAGTGACACTAAAAAAATAATAGTCTGAAACTATTATTTAACATTCCTTAGCCAACCGAAATGTTGTAAGTCACTTGCTACTTCCATGGAAAATTTTGCGAGTCACTTGCTATTTTCATGGAAAATGTTGCGAGTCACTTGCTATTTTCATGGAAAATGTCAACCTTAGCCAATTTATGAATTTTATTTCAACATTTTATTTAACATTACTGTTATCACTCATGCAACAACCTCCTTCAGTAATCCTCTACCTTGAGTGGCTCTTGGGATTTCTGTACTTTACTTCGGTTTGCTTACATGTAATCAGTATAGAAAGGGATTCTTATTTATTTTCCACTTTATTTCATTTATATTGATTTTTTCAAGAAATAGGATATTGTCCTGGTCAAAGTTTTTGTACGGCCACTCCTCACTTACCGACCGGGTTCCGTTCCAAGGAAGTGGTCGCTAAGTGAGAACTTGTATCTGACCGCTGTTTCAAGCATATCACGTGTGTTGGGTTTGCGTCAAACAATATCATATCGCTTTAATGTCAGGTGTACTGAAAAGAAATCGTAATAAACATATTCGAAAACCAGTTCTATATTTTGCACATGACTTCGGATTGCATGACGTAAATACAAGTACATTTTTATTTATTTTGTACAGCGCACAATGTTGACGATTTGCATTTTGTTAATATTTTTTTTATTTTATGAGATTATGCAGTTGGTAATAAGTTCGGGATAGTCATTAAACAGACATGTCATTAACTGAGACATGACTGTATATGCAATAGCATTAATAGAAGGGAGATAGTATACGTAATAAGTCGTTAAGTGAAAAGTAACTGAATAGGTGTGATGCCGTTAAGCGAGGATTGACTGTATAAGTAATATATAAGTAATAAGTCATCAAGTGATGAGTGACTATATAAATAATAAGTTTTCAAGTGAGGAGTAATAAGTTATAAAATGAGGAGAGATTGTATAAGTAATGTCACTGAGTAGTGACTGTATAAGTTATATCATTAATTGAAAATTGACTATAAGAAATAAGTCATTAAGTGAGAAGTAACTGTATAAATAATACCATTAAAGAGGAATGGCTTGTCTATATAAGTAATGTCCTGAGATGAGGAGTGACTGTATAAGTAATGTCATGAGTGAGGGGTTACTGTATACGTAAATATCTTCAAGTGAGTGACTATATACGTAATTGACTGTATAAATAATAAGTGGTTAAGTGAGGAGTGACTGTATAAGTAATAAATCAAGTGAGGAGTGACTGTATGAATAATATGTCATTTATTCACATGGTATATGTACTAATAAAGTAAGATATACCAACATTTCTAATTTCCGGTCGTTTAATAAGTAAAACCTTAAGTGGGGAGTGGCTACATCATGAATGTGTTCTGCATGTGAGGTCTGTTTTACCGAAGCAGAAGTTTGTCAAGAATTTACATTCATAGTTTTAATTCAAAAGCAGTGTTAAAACTCAACCCCTCGGTCACGATGACTTGTGATTTCTTGCTAGCACAGCTATCGACGACCGCCAAGTGTCCCGTTTACCGAATTTCACTCACTAGACTTGGGTTAACCCGCGGTAAGATTTTCAAGCAACTCCGGGACGATAACATCATGAAGTTTTCACGCTGAGATGCGAACCCGGGTCACATGGTCAGAAAGCGAAAGTTCTGACCACATGGCCATATATATATATATATATATATATATATATATATATATATATATATATATATATAATTATTTAAAAATATGATTCCAAATCGCTACATAAGAGGTCTCATGTTTCAAAACAAGAGCCGAAAACTTCAATATAATCCTTTAAATTAAATTGGGTTTAAATTAAAAAATAAAATGGGCTCCGTTCCATCTTCAAGCGTTCCTTCCTATTTTCTATATATTTTCACACACACACACACACACACACACACACACACACACACACATATATATATATATATATATTATTCGAAAATTTGAAAGATTTAATAAAAGAAATTAATAAAAGAAATTGTCCATATCATTTAACAAAAAACATGTTTAAAAATGTTTAAGAGAATTCTTGCTGCAGCGATTCAACTTTACTATTACTATATATATATATATATATATATATATATATATATATATATATATATATATATATATATATATATATAGTAAAGGTAATAAATAATTCCTGTTGTATATAATCTAAGTGGATCCTAGTAATATAAAGTATTAAAACTGATCCACAAAAAAGAGCTCAACATATCTATCATTACAGAGCAAATAATCAGTACACAATAAAATCCAAAATTGCCTCATATGGGGAATAGACTTATTTTAGTCGACGAGATTCGTGTCTCTTATTCAACCCCGGTATAGACTGAGTTCGGGTCGTAATTTTGAATTTGAAGACTGACAAATCTCGTCGGTTGAAATAAGCCTATACCCCATATGAGGTAATTTTGGATTTTATTGTATACTAACTAACTAACTAACTAACTAACTATATATATATATATATATATATATATATATATATATATAATTACATGAATCATTCATACAAAAAACAAATATAGAGGTTAATGATTTAAATGGCGAATGAATGAATGACTGATGTAATTATAAATTAAACTGCACCTATAATCGAAATTAATATATATATATATATATATATATATGTATATATAATATGTGTGTGTGTGCGTGTGTGTAAGATGTAAATGCCTCGAAACACTATTTATCGTAGAAATGCATTTAGCCCATCTACTTCTTTGAATTTCTAGGATGAGGAGTTATCCTTATTTGTATTATTTACATGCAGACTATTATCCTCATCTTTCTTATCATTATCCCTGTGTTTCGATCGTTGTAGAGTCCGGACTTCATCAGGTGCTTGCCGATCTGGATAATCTTCATAGAATTTCGAACAGAGCCCTTTATTTAATTTACGGGGGTAGATTGTTTCGTCCCGCTAAGTAGGACTCCGGATATTCTCGCTTCATTCTATTATCAGTTATTGCTCACCACGTTTTTACCTAGTTCAAGTAAGCGCTCCCCAAGTGAGGGATTGATCTTATAGTTACTGTATGACCAAATTCGCGAACTAATGCTTTAACTTTGAGTCCTAGCTGCGGAGTGCCTACTTGGGCTCGATAAAGACCTGGAGAGGAATAATTGGACAGTACAAATTGGGAACTGGACAAGATAATCCCTAAATATGATAATAGTAGTGGAAATATTAGTGTCTTTCCTTTTTATAAGGAAACTCTTGACTGTCATTTACCGAACAGCGAGCGCTACCGTCGGTTGAAATTTAAAAAATCTATTTATTAAAATATAGGTCCACTAACTTTCATAGCTCTTGCTAGCGGTACGAGAATACTCGAAGAACGTAAATTATATGAAGGAATCAGTTCAAATTCCCTGACTGTGTTGCGGTGGTCGCCTTTTTCTATATACCGTGTCCCTGTTAACCATGTTCACCATAGTCTATGAATATAGAATCCAGCTCAGTACGTAATCTGTTCAATGAAACAACGTTAAAGATTAACACTCACGAGTCAGACACTCTACTGAATCTGACTATATCGCCAATACCACCAGCAGCTGTTCCGTAATTCTTCGGTCTTCGATATCAAAGTCTGGAAGGGAATATTCGGGAAAAACATGGCCGCCTTTATACACGTCGCATTGAATATTTTGAGCCTTCTGATTGGTTAACCTTTCTATTGGTGAACTCTAAAATGGCTTGTTAATTTTAACGCCTCCAAAACTAAATTTCTCTCCATTAATTATCTCAGAGACCCGTTGACCATGTTCACCATAGTCTATGAATATAGAATCCAGCGCAGTACGTAATCTGTTCAATGAAACAACGTTAAAGATTAACACTCTCGAGTCAGACACTCTACTGAATCTGACTATATCGCCAATATCACCAGCAGTTGTTCTGTAATTCTTCAGTTTTCGATATCAAAGGCTGGCTGTCAGTGAATATTCAGAAAAAAACATGGCCGCTTTTATACACATCGCATTGAATATTTTGAGCCTTCTGATTGGTTAACCTTTCTATTTGGTGAACTATAAAATGAGTCAGCTCATTTTGGCTGGCTCACTAGTACATCAGTGTACACAAAAATTCCAACAGTCCCTTCGAAACATTGTGAACGTGACTCTATACAACTTTCTTTCTGTCCATTCTAGACTTTAATAGCTTTTTTTCCATCTCTCCCAAACACTGTTCCGTCACCTATTTACTCAAGCTTGGCAAGTAGTTTGTGCGTTGCTTTCTTCTGGCCCACTAACCTTTAATCAGTCCCGTGAGCATCAGATTTTCCAATCCCTCTTTCCTCTTTATGTTACCCAGAAATTTCATCTGGTGTTAAGCATAAATACCCTGTCTGTTGTCATTGTCTCTAGAACATCTTCGTTCCTCACATGTTCGGTCCATGTTATTCTCAGAATTCTAATACAGAACGACATTTTTGTTGCTTCAAGTCTCTTTATCTGTGAGAAGATTGTCCAGCATTCACTGCCATATAT